GATAGAAGGCTTTCGTAAAGACAATTGTTCATGCGTAGCAGTAAACCCTCGAGTCAACCCCGGTGGGGCCTCTGCATTGGTAGTCCCTTCAGTGTTGGGGGTCTCTGCATGGGGAGTATTGTGAACCTGCCGGGCATCTCTGCATCGGGATGGCGATCAAGGCCAGTACTGGGATCAGGGCGATCATGGGGAGCATCATGGGTCTCTGCAGGGGTAGTGTCATCATGCCAGTCCTGACCCTAGCCAGACCATCCATAATCATATCTCCAATCCTTGGAGCTGACAATCCAAGTGTCATTGCCATTGGCCACCACGTAGCGGTCCCGGGCACTATCCCAAAAATATGATTTGTAGGGATAATAGCCAGCATCCGGCCCCCACCATGACATACCCCTGGACCCATAGTATGATCTCTGGGAGTCATGCCACTCACCATCATCATCATCATCATCATCATCCATATCAGCTCGGTGGGTGTCATGCTCAGAGGTGCTTGGTGTGGGCGATGTGATGGTTCCAACATGTGTGGATGCTGGAGATGGCATCTCAGGAGTGGGGACGGTGCTCTTTGCTACTTCTGCAGTTGGTGGGAGTTGGGCATGGCATCGCAGGAGTGGGGGGAGTGCTCTTTGCAACTTGAGTTGGGGATGGCATCGCAGGAGTGGGGGCAGTGCTCTTCGCAACTTGAGTTGGGGATGGCATCGCAGGAGTGGGGGCAGTGCTCTTTGCAACTTCTGCAGTTGGTGGGGCTGGCGTGGCACCAGGGGTTGGGGATGGCGTTGCATCAGGAATGGTGGCAGTTTGCCACACAGGCCTTCTTGAAACAGGATCTGAACGGCTGCTCCAAGTTTCCAAGTCTCAGCTGATCCATTCAGAAGGGTGCAAAATGTGAAAAGCTGACGGCAACTTGGGAGCAAGGAGGGGGGCGGCACCTTTCAATTTCTCGTGGCGTGCGCGCGCCAGAATTCTCTTCATGGCTAATGGGTGTCATCAACGCTTGATATCAAGTGAACATTCAACATTTTACGGTCATCATACATTATTGAGAATATGTTGATTTCTTGTCATGGTTGGGATATCAAATATTTATCACTATAACTATATAATTTTACAAAATATATACACATGGATTGACTTGATGAAATCGACCACATCATGTCTCAATTATAGCGATAATATTGAACATAATTGGGGAATCCATGATCCTGGAGCCACAGAAGAGCCTACCTCCTCACGGTTCCTGGCTGTGGCCCTGGTAACCTAATTTTTAGGTAACCAGGGTGGTTCCTGATATAGAGGGACATGGAGTCCTAGGGTGAATAAAGATCTACGATAGGGCTTGTTGTATAGCAACCATGCTGATTAAATGCATAACCTTGGGGAACCTATACCAACCATAGAGACATCAAGTCCTAGACCCTTGAGCGATCTTCCAACCCAGAAACTTTCGGAGGCTCCCAGGCGCATGGCGTACTGATAGGCGGTGGGAACCACGATCTCCACATTTAGAACCAACAGGATGAGGAGGAGATAGATGAGATTCTCAGTGTGCCAAGGGTGGGATAATTGGGTTGCTAATCCATGGCCAATGTAGGTGACAGATTCGCACACTCACCAACCATTTTTTTCCCACAGAAACATGTTCAGGTCGATTGCCTATTCTGGTTTCATTATATATATAAAAAAATGCCACGTAACCATACTGGAAACCTATCCCTAAGCCATCATCTCTGATTCAGTTCCAAAAATCTAAAGGTTTGATGGTGGGGGTTTCGAGTGCTTGATTTGCTTGATGCCGCGGGTTCGTAGTTTGAATTCCAATTGTATATTTGTACAAGTCAAATCCTCAATTCTTGCCAACAACATATTTTTTTTGGTCGCTCAAACACCCTCTGAAGACTCTTATCTTTGGTTCTTTTCATTCAAGTAAAACTTATTTTTTCAACAAAAACTGGAAAACCATCCAAAATCCAACCTGAACAGTATCAAAAACTGGCAGGTCCACCCAAAAATGAAATTCCCGATGATGACCCAACAAGAGATAAAAGTAAAATCCTACTAACAAAATAGTGTGAAATGTGGTAAGTTATGCTTCCAAATGTTTGAAAACTATTGTATGAGCATCCCACAACAATGGCTGGTAGAATGGACAGCCCCATGATTAATGGATTACGATCAACCCCCAAAAATCTCTGATAGCTACGGTAAATCAATGTGTTTGAAATAGCAACTGACACGTTTTACATTGTAAACATCCTACCTTTTCATGGTAAAAATCTCCCAAACCTCCAGCTGGTTGATGGTTTTTTTCACTCCTCCCACCTTTATATGCTCGACATCGCAATCATCCCTTTTGTTTGTTCGAAAAACTATATAAGCATATGAGGTGGGGTCCAAGCTATGGACTGTGAAAACCCTATTGCTGATGGCTACCCTCTGGTAATTTAACATAGCTATTGAAAATGGCCCATAGAAATAGTTGATTTACCCCAAAAAAAGGTGATGTTCCATCGTTTTTTGGTATGCTTACCAGAGGATAAATTCCATGAATCCCCCCCGGATGGTTAAATCCCTATTGGTGATGGCAAATGTCATCTTTTCTCCCAAGATTCCAAGGACACCGAGGGCGGCATCCGTTCCTGCAGCCTCCAGCGCTCCTCCGCAAATTTTGTGGCGCCACCCAGCTGGCGGCCCGTGGTGGTGGGCGCCGGGGTGGCCATGGGGGCAACGGTGACAACGGGAAGAGTCTCCTTGGTGGGATGGTTCCAGGGGTGTCCAGCTCGTATGGGATTGTGTGTATATATATATATGCTGTAATTATATCTATCTCTCTACCTATATCTATGTCTATCTCTATCTCTATAACTATCTCTATTATTATCTCTATCTCTATCTCTATATCTCTCTCTCTCTATCTATCTATCTACCTATCTATCTATTTATCTATCTATCTGTCTATCTGTCTATCTATCTATCTATCTATCCATCCATCTATCCATCTATCCATCTATCCATCTATCCTATCCATCCATGTATCTAACTAACAAACTAACTATCTATCTATCTATCTATTTATCTATCTATCTATAGTTGGTTAGAGTTTATGAAAATGTTGAAAAACTATGGTTAGAGACAATGGATTGTTATTCCAACCCGGTATATATGTATTTAAAATAAAGTCTATTTATATAAATACAGAAAAAACAACCATAGTATTATATATATATATAATAAGTAAAAACTATATTAGAATTAAATATATATATATATATAAACAAATGAAATAACGTGATATTAATATACATATATATGTATTAAAAACATGCAATACAATACCAGTAGTACCCGCACGAGGCGGGGCGGAAGTTGCCTTAAAGAGATATATATATAAGACCTTTCTCATCTATAGAACTTGCATGCGCCGTGCGCCAGCCAAGCCCGTGCGTGCGTGCACTCTGCGAAACTGGTGTCTTGTTTCACATGTCACATTTGAAGCTCCACGTCACACTTCACACTTGACAGTCTTCACACTTCACACTGCGCTCTTCACACTGCACCCTTCGCAGTCAACACTTCACTTCACACTGTACTCTTAAGACTCCACACTTCACACTTCACACTTCACACTGCACTCTTCGCACTCCAAACTTCGAACTTCACAGTCCACACTTCACGCTTCACATTCCACACTTCGCACTGCACTCTTCACGCCCTTTCTCCACGCACTCTTCACACTCCAAACTTCACACTTCACGCTCCACACTGCACTCTTCACGCCCCACACTTCACACTGCACTCTTCACGCCCCACACTTCATCTCATCTGAGCTCTTCTCACCTTATCCCAGCTCAGCTCTTCTCATATGTCATCTAAGCTTTTATGAATCTCTTCCCAGTACTACTACAAAGGAACTTGCATGCGCAGTGCGCCAGCCAGGCCCGTGCGTGCGTGCTTTGTGCGAAGCTGTTGCAGTGTTGCTGTCCAAGAACATGACCTGCGCGCGTCCCCGGTGCAATGCAACGTCAAGCAAGCACTTTCCTCACACATCACATTGCGCCCTTCACACTTCACATCTGAGCTTTTTTCATCTGGTTTCATGTCTTCCCATATGTCAGCTACGTTCTTCTTGGCTATTTTCATGTCATCTGAGCGCAGCTCAGACTTTCTCATGCGTTGGAGCTACTTTCAACTTATCTCGGCGCTTCTGCACGTCAGCAAGGTTTTGAGCGTAACTCATGTCGATTCTTCTGCATGCCAAAAGGTGTAGACCATAAAATATTTACAATATTGAGGTCATTAATGCCAAGCGTTGATGCATTGCATCAAATCGCAACGGCAAGTGTAAACATGGTGTAGTTAGTTGTTACCTGTCAAGGAGATTCACGCAGTCCAAGGTCAACAGATGCTTTTTTATCTGCGCTACACTTGGTCCAGGCTTTTGGCAGCTTTTTCGGCCCGCACTGGCACGAAAGGCTGGAGAGCTTAGATTCCAAAACGCCCTATAACTACGCACACACAAGCACACCCAAAGCAGCTTGAAGCCACCGTTACAATGCGGCAAAAAAAAAAGGCAAACCGACGGCAGCCGCACCGCACCCGCCGCACAGACGAGGTACCTTTCATCGCCGGCTGCAGCCACTTTACACGGAAAAACGCAAGGTTTCGTGCTCTGGCTTCCTCCCCAAAACAGAGCCCTTGCAACATCATGCAGCCATTCCAATGCGATCTGCAAGCACAGATTCCAAAACACCCTATAACTACGCACACACAAGCACACCCAAAGCAGCTTGAAGCCACTGTTACAATGCGGCAAAAAAAAAGGCAAACCGACGGCAGCCGCACCCGCCGCACAGACGAGGTACCTTTCATCGCCGGCTGCAGCCACTTTACACGGAAAAACACAAGGTTTCGTGCTCCGGCTTCCTCCCCAACACAGAGCCCTTGCAACATCATGCAGCCAGCCCAATGCGATCTGCAACCACAGATTCCAAAACACCCTA